CTTACACATTTACCTAAAACAAGACCTAGGTAAGTCTAGAAGTTGACAAATAGTAAAATAGTTAAGAATTTTTAAAGTATTGAAATATAGTACTGAATTTGTAATGTTTGCCATTGAAGCCATAAACCCTCAGGAAGGCTACCTTTCAAATGAGCTTTATGTTACCTAAATAATTTAATTATCATTTTAATTATATCTGTTAGAAATTATCTGTGTTTTCACTCATATTTGCATATTTGAAAATATTACTCTTTTAGCTAAATGAATAAGCTTGCCTGATAACTATGAAGACTAAGATAATTTAAAGCATCATATAATGTTAATTTTTTAAAATGTTAATATTTTTATTTATAGGGGGGTGGATCACTCAAGGTCAGGAGTTCGAGACCAGCCTGAGCAAGAGCGAGACCCCGTCTCTACTAAACATAGAAAACATAGAAAGAAAGTAGCTGGACAACTAAAAATAGAAAAAATTAGCCGGGCATGGTGGCACATGCCTGTTGTCCCAGCTACTTGGGAGGCTGAGACATGAGGATTGCTTAAGCCCAGGAGTTTGAGGTTGCTATGAGCTAGGCTGATGCCACAGTACTCTAGCCTGGGCAACAGAGTCTCATAAATAAATAAATAGATAGATAGATAGATAAATTAATTAATTTATTGAGGTGATTGAATGTTTTGTAACCAAAGTGTTTCTTATGATCAACAGAAACCATAAAAATATTTACATTTTCAAAAAAATAAGTTATGTCTTCCAAAAGTGGTCCATGTTATTCTGGAGCATTCCAGACTGCTGAAGAATGGTATCTTCTCAGCTCCTGAATTAACTTTTTCGCTTCTAACTTGTTTTTGTTTCTAACTTTGTCTTATGTTTTTATTTTTTTTAAGAACAAGATAGTATTTGTTTAAAATCTTTAGAGGTTTATCCTGGATCTGACATGGCTTGCAAGCTTTTATTGTGAAGTTAGAATAGCTAGCATTTTCAGGGGAAGATAATGCTTTGGGAAATTGTATAACAAGTAGACCAAAGTAAAAACAACAATAATGGAATCCATAACATCCTTGGGGAAATTGGCTAAAAACACAAAATTAACCATGAAGCAACACTAAAAAGTTATAGACATGAAAATAATTGTGTTGAAAAACTGAGGAAGGATGTTGATTAACCAGCAAGAATGATGCAGAGTGTGCATTGTGAATTAACTGGGAAATGACTTTTAGTTTTACTCTGTGGCCAGGTGGAGTGGACATTAAGTGGAAAGAAATTGTTTAAATTCATCTAAGAATTTAAGAATGTTTTTTAAACATTCATGTAGGTGGAACTAGTAAAATCAACTTTTTCTTTTGAAATAGGGAGGGCAGTTTTTTCCTTTGAGATCCAAGATGATTAAAAACCTTTTATTTTGACTAACACAGTACCTAGATTTTAATTTTTTCCCCCTTGCCACAGGATTCCTATTAATGGAGAAAGCCCAAAGCATCGCTCATGGCATACTTTAACACCAATAGCTGATGATAAGCTTTTCCTATTTGGTGGACTAAGTGCAGATAATATTCCATTGAGTAAGTTGATTAAAATTTAGCCTACAATTATTATCTCAGTCTTTTTTCCTAATTGTATTTCATACTCATGGTGAAGTAAATCTTCCTTTTTTCCTGTTTTATTGGTTTACCTTTATCCCCAACTATATGTTTGCATTAAGAATGAGAAGAAACCCTCTTTGCTTTTGTACCCTTGGCTCTCCATGTTCTCCTGTTTCCTAGGAATAGTGAAGAGGAAAGGTGGTTGAACCTAGAGTAAATAAAGCCCCTTCCCACTACTCCTCTGTGATTCTGTGTCCTCACTTTTGATCCAGATGCTTATACTGTAGGCTAAGATGGTGATTAGAAGAGCAGCCTTTCTTAGAAGGCTCTGGAAATATAAGGTGGGAAGCCCATTTGCTCCTCTTTTTGTTCCAGAACTATAAAGGGAAGTGCTTGGCTAGATTTTTCAAACTCCTGTCACTGCTGGTCCCAACAGCCATGGGTTTTAGAATGCAGTTTTTCTTTCAGCAGTAAAATTGTGGTATCAGGATAGACAAATGACCAAGAATATCCTCTTCTTAGTTTGTCATGTTAGTTGTTTTATATTTTTTTAACTCATAAGTTTTCTATGGCTAGACATGGTTTCATTAAGAAACCTTATACACCATTAAAACCATTTATATAATTGTATATAGGATCTGGAAGCAACTGTTTATTTTTCAACAAAAGTGTATTGAGTATCAGCTACGTATTTGATAGTCTCCTGGCCACCCAACAAACAAACTCCAGAGGCTAGTTGGAGAAACAGCAGTTCCCAGTAGGGAGATGTTAGTTATTCTTGCAGATTATTATTATATTTCTTCATTTTGTGAGATTTTTAGTTAAAAGAGATTCAGAATATAATAAAAAACTAACATCTGTACATTTCACTAGGGGTTGTTTAATATCATATCTTCATAAATCTCATGTTTTTAATCCTTATTTGCTGTTTTTGGTCATTGACTTATGGGAAGTTAAATGTGGTAACTCTTAGTTTAGTTAGTTTCCTCCCCTTATAGATTCGGTTGAAGATTTGGTCATATGGGTCTTAGATGATCCCAAGAAATTATTTTTAGTTTTGTTGACTATGATAATGGCATTGTGGTTATGTGGAAAATGTCCATATTTTTTAGTAATGCATACTGAAGTATGTATGGGGAAAATGATAAGAGATCTAGGACTTGATTTTTAAAAGCTTCAACAATAAGAATAACAAAAAGATAAATGGAGCACATATGGCAAAATCATGATAGCTGAATCTGGGATATGTGGAGGTTCATTGTCATGGTCACTCTACATTTTTACATGTTTGAAATATTATAATAAAATGTTCACCCACAGAAAAGATAGTCATTTAAATGTAGCGTGGTAAATTTGGGAAAAAAATTAAAATTATATCCCAAAGACCTAATCTTAATTTCTGAACTGTCATAATATTACAGGTGATGGTTGGATTCACAATGTCATGACAAATTGTTGGAAACA